TAACTACATGCATCGTACGTGCATTTGCTGGTGATTTCCTATGGCCACACTGTGAGCTCCTCGAAGGCTGGCCTGAAATCCGTCTTCCTCTTGAGGCATCCCTGTGCCCAGCATGTGGCACCCAGTGGGTACAAGGTGTCTTTATGAGGTATGATCACAAATACTGCTGCTGAGTGCCATCCGAAGGAAAGATACAAAAACATTACAGTGTGTCCTCATCTACTTTGTTCACTGGGTCCGGCACCTTGCAACTTCCAGCTCTTTCTCAGAGTTAAAATGACCATGAAAGGTAAACATTTTAAATCAATTCAGGACATTACGGCAGCCATAACAGCAAACTAAACCAAAAACTTACCAAAGAGGACTTCCAGAACAGCTTCAGAAGGTGGTAGGAATGATGGGATAAGTGTATCTGAAGCAAGTGGGAGTTTTTTGAGGGAGAGTAATGACAATGTGTCTTTTACTGTAAGTAGCTGGACTCTTTGATCATACCTCGCATTTATTAAATGAATAAATAAACAAATATCTCTGCCTCCCTCAGACTTTTTCCATTCTGTTTCCTCTTCCTAGAATGTGGTTTCACTTCTCCACGTGCAAAAAACATCACATCCTCAAGGCCCTGGGAAACCAGGCCTTATGCCCCCTACCCTGCTCCTGTGCTGCCCCCTTCACCCTCGAAGCCCATTCCTGTCATGCCCTGTGGATATGACAACTTTTCCCCTAAGAGACTGTGAGCCTCCTGAGGGTGGCACTGTGCTTTGCCATATTCATCCCTGCACCCCACCAGAGCCTAGGCGCCTGGGCTCCTCAAGTCCTTGTGGGGCCCCAAAGCAGGATGTAGGACCGAGGCACTGGTGATCTTCCCTGCTAGCCCTGTGGCAGCAGTGTTTTATGCACAAAAGGTGGGAGGGGCATTCAGGCCTGAGAGTCACTCCAGGCCTGTGGCAGACACCCCTGCCCAGTATTAGCAGACTATAAGTGGCACAAGCTTTTTGCCTCACCATAATTGGCTGGCTTATATTAGGGGTCCAACGTGACTCAACTGGGCACGTCAGGTGGCAGAGTTGGGCGAGCATAGCTCCTTTGACAAAAGATTGTCACCGAGACTTAAGCCCTAGTCCATGAAGTGGCAGGGCCCTGTCAAGTCAACTAGCCAACATCAGCTCAACTCCAACTAAATTCTTTCGCTCAGAATTAACCATTTGTTCTACTTAGCAACACACACTAGAGCCTCCCCTTTTACAGTTCTACCTGCAATATTTGCTATCACCTGGTGTCCTGGTCTCTCCTTCCCACAGTTGTTATGAATAAACACTGGACATTCTTCGTGCCTTTTGTCTTAGCTGCCCAGAGAAGCTTAGATCAGCCCCAAGACTCATCTCTTTGAATTTCTCTTTGTGTCTTCTGTTCTTGTCAGCTTGCATCATATTGTCTCGCAGAAAATGAGGACCCACTGCAGGGGTCTATACAGGCCAACCTCCCCATGCGGCCTGGAAGTGGCTCTTCCCCAGAGTGTCACCCATGGGGCCAGTTCCTCTCTGCCACACCCCTGCCTGAACTTCCTGGTGTTGTCACGCCCAGGCACCCCAGATGTGGTGGCTTCGAACATCACAGGCCCCTCTCCTTCAGTCCTGGAGGTCAGAGGCTTGGCATGGTCTCACTGGACTAAACTCAAGTGTCCCCATAGGCTGGCTCCTGGCCATCCCAGGCAGGGACACCCAGGATCATCCCGATTTTACAGTCAGCTGATTGGCAGAGTTACTCAACCACACTTCAGTTTCCTCTGCTCTGTAACCCAACAACCAGAGATTCGGGGCATCAGGATATAGGCATCACTGGGGAGCTGTAATTCTGCTACCAAACGCTCTTCCTCAGCCCAGTCACTATTTGGGAGGCACCTTCTGTGGGCCAGAGCCCTTGACAGTCTTACCCCTGCAGTCGTGGCAGGTGGGGACACTACAGGTCTTCCCTGGAAAAGCAGGGCCATATGTGGCTCTTAGGGACCTTGGACGCTTTTATCTTCATTCATTGAAAAAATATATTTAAAATGATATTTTATGACTGCATTAGTACAACAATTCAATCCAATCTGGATTTTATCGTTTTTTAATTTCTGATTTTTTCTTTTTGAGACAGGGTATCCCTATGTAGTCAGGCTGGCCCTGAACTCACTATGTAGCCCAGGGTGGCCTCGAACTCACAGTGATTCTCCTGCCTCAGCCTCCTATGTGGTGGGATTACAGTCATACACTACCGCACCCAGATTTAATTTCTGAATTTAAAAAGACATGAAGACATTTTGTGGACTCCTAATGGTGTCATGAGCCCTCACACTGTGCTCAACCTGGGAAGAGGCAGGTACAGGGCCACATGGCCAGCAGAAGGCAGAAGCGGGTCACTACCAGGACCCCAGGACTCCAGGGCAGAGTTCTTTTTTCTAGCCAGTAACTACTCTGTCAGTGGCTGAGCAATTCTTGGCAGAATCAGACACAGAGCCGTAGGGACTCTAGAGATATTTTGGCCCCAGAATCTTATTTGACTCCTCAGGATCCAAGTGCCCAGAGAGAGAATACAGAATCCTCAGGGATAGGCACACAGCCAGTCAGCTCTGTGGCCAGGACGAGGACCTGGCCTCCTGATTGCCCATTTAGGAATCTTTCCTGTTCTCCCCTCTGGTCTAAGGAAGCCCTGGGATCCATGTCCCCTGCCTATGCACACATACACACACACGCACACACACACACACACACACACACACGCCTCTCCCTGTCTTGGGCATGCAGTGTCAGGACGCACCTTGGCTACAGCTGTGCTGACTGCTTTCTACATTTGAACTGGTTAGGATCCATCACCAAAAGCGTCTACTTTCCAGGTGGGAAAACTGAGGCCAGAACAGGAAGGGAATAACCTGAGCCCCCGGCAGATGAGGCATCAGTGCCCAGCACCAGTGTGGGATTGCCCACCCCTGCAGCTGTGCTCCAAGTCAGCACCAGCCTGAGGGGCTCTTCCCCCCACCCCCCCTCACAGGGACCAAAGAAGGTTTTGAAAGAGCAAGTTCAGGGACACAGTGACCAGACAGGTGCAGGACCAGAGCCAGAAAAACTGGTTCTGAGTGCCCTGGGCAGCTTCCCAGCCTACCTTAAGTCTGCTGGGCAGGCATCCAGGTGGAACAGCAGGGCCTAGCCTTGGGGTTTGGGTCAGGCCCCATAGGGGGCAGCAGGCCTCCCCAGGCACCTCTGGGATGCCTACTCCTTGTTACTGAGCCCCTCTGAGCCTCAGTTTCCCCACGAGAAGCAGTCAGAGCATCTGCTTCTGAGAGCTGCCGTTACTCAGGATTAAACCCCCATAGCACAGCACCTGGCACCCGATGACAGCGAAGTGTCGGTTGTGATTTTCACAGTTTGCATTAGTAGTGATTAGCAGTGATTAGTGGTACACAGAGGAACTGTGCTGCAGCTGGGCCGGGAGGCCAACAGGAAAGGTCAGGGTGGCAAACCACCAGCACAGCCTCAGAGAGGAGCTGTATGGTCCGATGCCAAGACCATAAGAGCTGGGGACAGCACTCTGACGCTGCCGTGGCCTCCAGCACCTCCAGCACAGAAGGCCCATGGAGTCTGGAATGTCCACCTGAGTCCTCCACAGGACCCCACTGGTGGGACACACAGCTAGACCTTGCTTCATAGGAGAGGAAGGTCCAATTCTGAACCCATTTCACAGATGGGGAAAACTGAGTCCCAGAGAACAGGGATGACTTTCCCCTAAACACGCAATACTTTCCTAACAATGCCAGGACTCAAACTGGGCATCCTGACCTTTTTTCTTTTCTTTTTTGATTTTTGAAACAAGGCCTCATTAAATTGCCCACGTTGGCCTCAAATTTGCAATCCTTCTGCCTCAGTCTCCTGAGTAGTTGAGATTATACGTGTGCCCCACTAAACCCAGCTACATCCTGACTTTTTTTTTTGGTACCGGGGATCAAACTCGGGTCCTTGCACTTGCAGAGCAGGCGGCGCAGCCACTGAGCTGAATCCCTGGGCCTTACATCCTGACTTTTGAAAGAAAGGATGATCATTGCATGTTTGGAGATTTCAGTTCCTCACATCACTCATATCACCCAAGAACACTTCTCTTTACATTCTTTTGTTTCTCTCTAAGCCTTATCTGACCTAGAGCTCAACGTAACTGGCACCCCGAAGCCCTGAGAACAGCTTACAGAAAGGGTGCACTGTTGGCCTCAGAGGCTGCAGCCAGCTTCACAGGATGTCATAGCCTTGGTTCCAGCCTCATGGTTCACCTTTCACCGAGGTGATGCCCTCAGAGCTTTGCTAAGCTACACTCCCTTCCATCTCTCCGCAAAGCCTCGCTGCCACTCCCAGACTCAGCCCTGGTGTCCCCAGTGTCCCCCAATCTTCCAGCCCTCCCTGATGGGTCTTGGGCCTGAAGACATTAGTGCACAGCCTTTCAGAAACAAGAAACGAAGACCACCCACCCTGGTGCTGCATTCATTCATTTGCTCTCGTTGGAGAGGCAATTTTTAAACAGTTTCTCAGTCTGCTCTCATTTGGTTCATTTGTTTATTTGACAAATATTTATCAAATACCAAGTAGGAGCCAGAGCTTTTCTCCAGCAAGCCCACCCTTTTCCCCTCCCCATTCCTCTCTCCATCCCCCTCCCTCCCTCCTCCCCTCTCCTCCTCTCTGCCACCCCCCCCTCCGCCCCGCCCCATGGAGAGAGGAATCACAGGAAGCTCACTAACCCTGTGCAGAGCTCAGGTCTTCTTAGCTCTCAACTCAGTGCAAGATAAGAGAGTTCTTTCCCATCCCCACAGAAGCTGCCCAGAGCCCTCTTGCATCCACACTGGGCAGTGGTTTGGTTCCTGACCTCAGGAGTCAGATGGCCCAGCTCCACAGTCTCCAAGTAGAAGACATGGTCCTGCTGGGCCTCAGTTTCTCCTTTGTCAAACAGCACAGGGAGTGGGTAGGTGGGGGGGGGGGTCCTACCTGAAGGTTTGCTGTGGGAGAGAGCAGCAGGCCAGGGGCAGGTCCAGCCCGAAGCAGACGGAGACAGGGGCAAGGATAGCCCTCGGGTGTGGGGCCTGTGGCCTGTGCTTGCAGCAATGGGCCTGGCACAGGGCTTCTTTCATGTGCTTTTGGTGGTGAGTCAGCCCTCTCTGCATGACTGTAATACCAGAGAGTTCGAAGAGGCCTCCTCCAAGGTCCCTCTCAGCTTTGAGAAGGTCTGATTCCAGAGAAAGCCAGCTGCCTAGAAACCCAGGAAGCCTCACTCTGCCCTGAAAGGCTCTGCTTCATCTCTCCCTCCAGGTTCTCCAGCAGCAACGGAAATGGAAATGCAGCACCACAGAGCTCACTATAAACAGCGAGCATCCATGACCAGCCAGGCAGATGTGAAATGACAAACGGCCCCACACCCCCTAAATCATGGGTCAGGGGAAATTAGAACCTGGAGCACAGAACACAGAAACAAGTCTTATTCTTGGGGAGTGAGCCAAGAGAAGTAATGGGGTCACACCTGGGAGGAAGGCCTGGACAAGGGAACTGGCATTTAAACTTTCCTCTCTTTGCACCCAACTGTTACTTCTGCTTCCTCCCTCTTCTCTGAGACTACAGAGGAGGACAGTGCCAGACCTTCCACTACCTGGGATGCTACAGGAGAGGGAAGTCTTTCCTTGGTTCTCATCTCTTTCTCTCTTATTTCAAGTCCTGCCATCTGCTTGGTCTCCATGGAAAGTAACTTTGCTCATTTCTGCATTCTGACTCTTTCACTCTTTCATCCCTGCCCATAAGCCCATTAATTAGGGCCTCTGCACCCAGGCACTCTGTTTCCACCATGTTGTGCACCTGCCAGTCCTTTAAGACTCAGTTCTCGGAACTGCTTCCCACAGTTTCATGGCACCTCCTGTTGTGTTCAGCATGATTTACAATGACACTGTCTCCCAATGACTCTGACTTTCTTTTTTTTTCCAGTATCGGGGATCAAACTCAGGACACTGTGCCTAGAGGCAGGCACAGTGCCACTGAGGTAAACTCCCAGCCCAGAACTATGGCTTTCTAAAGTGATAGGGGTGGCTCTAATAGATCAGAGGTTGAGCTTGCTAGTCTTGTGACTTTGAGCCTCTTTGATCTTTAGCGTTCCCTTCTGCAAAGTGGGCACAATCACTTCTAACCCAGTGAACTTCGTATTAGTCTAGGACATTAACATCACCTTCTGCAACCAGCAAACCCAAAAGTCTCATGGCTTCCCCTAACATCAGGTTATAGTCAGTGGTTCCTAGACTGGATGGCCTTGGTCAGTCTGGGAGTGGTGGCTGCCAAGATTATAACTCAGCAAGAGGGAGGGGAAGAGAGAGCACAGTGGATCTTCGCTTCCTGAACCCAGAAGCCACTGGTCCCTTCTGCCTGTCCCTGTTAGGTCATGACTCAAGCAAATGCCACAGATTAACTAACAGAGAATAGGAAGGCCCTAGCCCAGTGCCTGGCACACAGGAGGTACCCGATGAAGCTGCTAGTTCTGTCTGTGTTTCTCCATCCTCAGAACCAGGCACTTAGTGCATCCAAACCCCAGGGAGACAGGCTGCCTCCCAAAAGAGTGTGAGGTGGCCCAAGCCCAGCCCTGCCTTCCTTCTGCTCCCACACCCCCACCCCATAGCCCCTGGCCAACTTGTCTACCTGGCTGGCTGTCTCTCTGCAGAGCACTGATTAGTGCTAATGGCTGTGCTGTTTTAGGTCCATTTAGAGGCTCAGGGCTGTGGAACAGTAACCTCCCCTGCCCCTCCAAAATACCACTGCCTCTGTGCCTCTGGACAGGGCCAGTCAGGTCCCACCTCCTGGCTGCCTCAGCTCCTCCAGGGCCAGGGCCACCCTCCTTCTCTCCCACACAGCCAGGCTCCCCGCCCCTCATCCCTCACCACTGAGGATGGCCAGGAGAGGGTCTCTGCTTCCCTGTCTGCTGGTGGTCTCCCTGGATGTGGGGCCCAAAAGGCAGAGTGGTCGTCAATACACCTTAACTCATATGAGCACCATGACAACTTTTACAGAAGCAAGGCTTACGGGCTCCATTTTACAGATGAAGAAATTGAGGCCCAGAGGAAAACAGTGTTTTCAACTTATTTGATAGGAAGGCTATCAAAAAGCAGTGGAATAAACCCAAAGCACACACCTCACAATGTGCCCCCCTCTCCTGGCTTACTTCTCACTCCGAGAGCTCAGTCTGTGATTTCTTGTAGCTCAGGGCTTTATTAGGGGCTCAGGCTCATCCAGAACTTGCATGGGAATCATGTTGCTACCAGGCATATATGGGGCTGGTGGTTCCACAAAACACTGAAGAATGAAGTCGTGAACCAAAGAAAGAGGTTAGGAAAGTTTTATTGGGAATAAGGAGAAGGGGAATAGCTCCTGGAATTGAGGTGAGGTCCCGACTGGGTTGCCACATGGCTCCTTAACTTAGCATCACTTCTAGCTAAGAAGGGCACAGGAATTGCTTAATCATTTATTGGGCACCTGCCATGGGCAGCTCCATGAAGTTAAAAAAATGATCAATTGTAACTATCCTCCAGCCCAGTTTGTTTACATGGTGTTTACAGTAAACTGGGATCTTGGAAAGAAAACTGTTTATTTTGCATTATAATTTCCTTAGAACTCAGGAACATAGTATAGGGAGTGACTCTCTTTAGGACAGGCTGGGCTGCATTCCATGTTACAGAGGAAGTTCATGGCACAGAATTTTAAATTCCTCCAAACCCAGGAGCTTCCACGTTGCCTGAGGAATGTTCATTCCTGGTCGAAGTCCTAGTTTACTATTATTTTAATTCCCATTAATAGGGCTAGTGCCCCACAATTTCAGGCCTTGGTCATCTGCTACTAAACACTCTATCCACATCGTAAGCTGTCTGCTTTCCAGCCAGGGCCCAGGGCTTCTAGAAGATGCTCTGTGGGGCCTGGGTCCCAGCATGAGTGCAGAACCCCTGCTCTGGCCTGAGTCCCTGAGAATCGGCCCAGTCTCAATGGGGGATGTGTGTGTGTGTGTGTGTGTGTGTGTGTGTGTGTCTGCAAACGTGAACAGAACAGCAGGGATTCAGGAAAGAGCTCCATAAGGCGGGGATATGGCCCATGTGATGGCAGGGACAAGGGGACAGTAAATAGATGAGCTTGGCTGGAGCAGAACTGGTGTTTGTGAACAGTGACAAATGAGGCCGGGACTCAAGGGGACCTTGGAGAACAGGAGGAGGCATTTCAGTTTGATTGGAGAGACCACAGGGAGCCATGGGTTGTTCTGGAGCCAGCTAGCAGCAGCTCAGGAAGGAGCTTGGCAGAAAGGCAGGAAGAGCCAAGGGGAGAAATGAGCTCTAGGATGGGGCTCCACGGACATCTGGGCCCCGGGAGCTTGCTGCAGCTGGAAGGGCACAGCAGGGCTGGTAACCTTCAGGAATATTGTCAAGGAGAGACCCGGAGACCAGAAGGAGGCAGCCCTGCTGGGGGCAGGTCCTTAGCTCTGCCCGCTCCTGGCTGGAATCCAAGTCTGTTGGTTTCCTTCTGGCCAAGTGGTCTGTTCCTTCTTCTAGGCTGGCTGGTTTCTTCCCTAGGACATAGAGACAGCCCTGCCTGCTGTAGAGGCTGTGCAAAGGCACATAAATGAGAGATGCCTGAAACCTTCAGCCAGGACCAGGCACATCAGCTGCACACAACAATGCTAGTCCTGTTAGGACCCAGGCGTCCAGGCTAAAACACTTAGTTAGCTAGTTGAGGTTCAGTGGTCGAGTGCTTGCCTGACATGCATAAAGCCCTGGGTTGGACCCTCAGCGCTGCAAAACAAACAAAGTGACACTTAGCATCTGGGTGTGGTCATGCATGCCTGTTAACACCGGTGCTCTGGGAGGCTGAGGTAGGAGGACTAGGATTGCAACTTGGAGCCCAGCCAGGGCAAGTTAGCAACTTAGAAAGACTGTGTCTCAAAATATAAAATAATAAAAAGCTGGGGATGTACTTCAGTGTGAAGGCCCTGGGTTCAATCCCCAGAACTGCCACCACCAAAAAACAACAACAACAAATTTATCAAATCCCTGCTAGGTACCAGGGTGCTTCCCAGACATCATGTGTTTTCTGACAATGACCCCAGAGGACAGATCCTGCTCAATTGGGGGAAAAGAAAACAGAGGCCCAGGGAAGATCTGGATGCTCAATAGTGACGTCAATCAGGATTGATACTGGAGCTCCAGGGTCAAGGGTCATGACCTCTGGGTGGTGTTCAAGGTCATGCCGGTGATTGATTTGGGGAATTGCAGGTGGGTGGGGCACTGACCATGCAGGTGTTCATGGTGCCTCCCAAGAGCCACCTGGGGTCTAGCTACCATGACGTTTACTACTGTGATCTTTTAGGCGGGGGTGGATCTAGAACCCTGCTTACCAGCTCCTGGGTGATGCTTTATTAAATGGCAAAGGTTACTGAATGGGCATGCTGGCACACACCTGTAATCCCAGCGCTTTGCAAGACTGAGGCAGGAAGATCCAAACTTGAACCTACCCTGGGAAATTTAGAGACTTAGCAAGTCCCTGTCTCAAAATAAAGAAAGAATTAAACTAAAAAATGCTAGAGCGTAGCTCAGTGGGTAGTCCTCAGATCCAATCTTCAGTACTCAAAAAAAAAAAAAAAAAAAAAAAACTTTTGGGATAAAATAGATCTGGCCTTGCACAGGAATCTGAGTCTCAGTTTCCTGAATGGTAGAATGGGTAAATCTGACCAACTTTGCAAGCTGGCTGGGGAGATTAGAGATGGTGCCTGCAGCCTTGCCAAGCCAGGGCAGGACTCAAAGAGGCACTTGAACACCAGATCTTGACATTACTACTGTCCCTCTGGCTTGGCCCTGAGCCCTCTGTGACAGCCAGTCTCTGCAGATAGGCAGGGCCTCATTGCCACATGCTACAGCTCAGGACTCTTCCTTATCTTCAACTCCTTCCACCTCAAGAGGAAAAAAATCAGGATGCATGCTGCCATGTCAGATAGCACCCACGAATCGTTTCACATTCAATTTCCTCATCAAATTCACGGGCACGTATCGCATGCCATTATTCCATTTCCTAATGGTCTGTGTGGTGGCAATTGTAAGTAGGACATTTCTCCATGCCCTTGGCAGTCCCAAGCCTTCAGAGCTCTCTTTCTGGACCAGACCGTCTTCCCAGCAGCTGCAGCCTGCCTCGCCCTCCCCTAAGTCCTGCTATTGTCTGCACCTGGTCTCTGCTCATTCAGGATATAAGGGAACAAAGTAACTTGTCTCTTTGGAGGGCAATCTCTGCCCTCACCCTACACAGGTGATGGGTGCTGGGTCCAAGGTCAAAGTGAAGAGTGTCTGGAGCTCCCCCTGCATGCCACTCCAGGCTGTGGGACTTTGGAAAAGGTCACTGAGCCTCTAGGAAATTTAACATCCACAGCTATAGAATGGGATGGTACCTTGCAATGCTGGGAGCTGACTTCAAGTTCGAGAATGGTGGGGAGGACTGAGGAGGTACTGGGGGAACAGCAGCCAGGCTGGGAGAGCCCAGCAGTGGTGATTTATCAACCAGAAAGGAAACAGTTCAGCACTACAGGACCGGTAGGCGTGTGCAGTGCCCTGTAGCTAGAGATGAGGTGCAGGGTGCTGAGTGGAGTAAAACCTAGCAAGTCCCAAGGAGCATTTATCCAAGGAAAGGCCCCAAAACAAGGGTGAAAACCATGGCCAAATATGCACTTAGCACCTTTCAGACAAGCAAGAATCTATCCTCAACCAGAAGCACTATGTGCAGGTCCCAAATGGACCAGACTCACTCTCCCTCTGGTCCAGTATACCTGGAACTAGAGCAAAGGACATCTGGCTGTGTCAAACCAGAATCCTTTTATCTCTGACCCTTGCAGACTCAAAATGGAAGACACCCTCCCTCCCCTGCAAGTGGAAGTAGGTATATTCTTACATACCTCCCAAATCTTCCCTCTGAGGCCTCTGCCTTTCTATGCTCATATTCCCCTCCCTAGAGGCTGGCTCCTGCCTCCTCCCAGCCTCCACCCACCGCTCAAGGCCTCACCTACCACAGTTACCTGGAGACGGCCTCCACCTGAGAGAACTCAGACCTGGATTGACCAGTACAGTAAGGGACTGTGGCACAGTGGAATGCAAAGCTGATCACATGAGGATAGGCGTGTTGATCTGCACAGCACGCACTCCTCTCTGCGGGTGTTACGGTGTTACCCACCCCCTGAGCCTGCAGAAGAGTCTCAATTTATCAGAGAGCCCAGATTGGCAGCGGGCAGGCGCATTCACAGAAGCCCGATATAGACTTCCAATTATCTTTTAATTTCACTCCTGTCTTCATTTGTTCATTTCACTTTTTCCAAACAGAGACTGAAAAAAAAAGCGTAATTTGTGGAGTCTAAAGTCAGGCAGGGGGCCCTGTCGGCTTCACCTGCAGCTGGAAGGAGACCTGCAATGCCTGCCAAGGAAGCCCCTGCCTCTCCGGTCCCCAGAGCCCCTGTTCTGCTGACCCTCTGTCACTTCTTCCTTTCTAGATACTCCAGTACCAGGGCCCTCTCTGATTTGGGAAAGACACCCCACCTCCGGTTAGTTAGTTCCTGACTCACCTGGGAACCGATTTTCCATATGCAAACCAAGCAATCCAGAGTACACACTCCAACCACCTCCTTCTCTAACCCTCTGGGCCAATATTGCCCTGACCAGGCCCAGATATCAGGCAACTAAAGATACCCCAGGTTGCTAAAATTATTCACACTAACCAATCCTAAATCTGTTGACCCTGCTTTTCCCATTCCTCCTGCCTCTCCCATTTCTCCCCACAAATTGTAATAAAGACTCTCACCTTTGCTTCCCCCTCACTCCCTCTGCCTCCCCGGTGGTCCTGCATGGCCTCTCCTCTCAGGTACTGTGACCAGCTTCTGAGATGCAGTCACTTCCTGCTCTGTCTCAGTGTACCTGAATTACAATAAAACCACATCAGTAAGCAATGCCTTCGGTGGGTTGTTGAGAACTGGAAAGGAAGGCGGGCTGGTTCATGAAGGCTATACGCTCATGTGTTTTGCAAATGCCACTTCTGTCCTGAAACAAAGGAAGATCACAGAAAGTGCCACAGCCCTGCACTCAGCCTGAGTTCCAGGTGGGAGTTCTCTGTACTTTGTCATGGCTCTGAGAGTTCCCTGCTTTCCTCTTCCTTGATATTTCTCCTTCTAGACTTCCTCCGTTCCTGCTAAATCAGATGCTCCCCCCATCCTGTCCCAGGGTGGTACATGGACTCCCATTTCTCCCTACTCCACCTTCTCCTTGCTCAGCTTCTTCCCCAACTAAACCACAGTCTCCACGGGTAATGGGCCACAACTGTCCCTTCAACCCTTGTGACTGCACCCTTGTGACCTCTGGCCTGGTGCATGGGTCCCACCTGGTGATATTTGTTGAATCCATCAGTCTGTGTCCCTTCTTTCCTCCCTTATCCAATTCTGAATCATTTCTGGAATTACTTTTTCAGATTCTGACAAATCATCTCATTAATCTCTCCTAGGGAAGGCACTGTGGCTTGATCAACTCTTAGGAAGATGCCCCAGCTTTGGGTTGGGGAATAAGTTCCCCAGTGCTAGGCTTTATCTCCTGGTCCCAGAGATTCATCCAGATTCCCTCTTGCAGGCTGGGGGCTGTTTCGGGTACCCAGTACCCAGGAGCACTGGTTCCAAGTAGAAACACTGGTACCCAACATGGAGGGTGTCAGCTGGAGGCACAGGGAAAGGTCTGGGCCCCACAGAACTGTTATCCAGTGAGAGCAGCTTTCAAAGGGGCTAAGGCCATGCTTGTGTGATGGCATCTGAGAGTCCGGTGTGGATCACATCTTACCAAGGGAGCAAGAGCACTGGAGTAGCCCCTGCCGTTGCAATGGTACCCTGGCCATGATGGGGCTCAACGACCCCCCAAAGTCATTTTCTACCACTGGAAAAATCATTTTTATTACCCTTAATGCCTTGTGCTCTCCTTCCCAGGGGAGGTCCATGGGCTGTGCAGCTAGAAAGGTCATAAATTAAGACCTAAGTGACATCAGCAAGTCTCTCTGAGCCTGTTTCCTCACCTGTAAAGTGGGCCCAGTGATAACACTGCCCTTTCCAGATTGCTGGGAGGATTAAATGACTTGATTTATCCATAGCACCTAGGACTCATTCCCATTTCTGTATTCATCTGATTATGTAGGGAGCAAGAGCTCACTCACCACCAGGGGAAATTTTCAGCCACCCCCACTTGGCAGTCAGGCACCTAGGCACTGGCCAAGTCATGCTGGTGGAATAAATTCAGGTCTGTGAAACTCTGGAATCTACAAAGGAGGATTGAAGTCCCCATTTACAAGAAAATTGAGATGACATCAGGGATTCATTTGCCACTGCCCAAAAGTGGGACAATCATCCATTCCCCCCTAAAGGAGCTGTGAGCCTCGGGTGCCATTCTTCCAGGTGCACGCCCCAGGTTCCCCCAGTGAAGGCATAGGCTGCACTGGTTGTTCTAGCTACGCAGCCCATTATGTGTTTTGGGGTTCACAGGTGAGCCCAGGCCAGGCTCCGACAGAAGACAGATGCTGTGCCCGGGGCACTTGGTGACAGCAGATGAGCTAAAATCTGGTAGAGGAGCCTGGAAGGAAAAGGGTCCAACAGGTTGGGAGCACGTCCATCCACCAGCCAAGGTCAGGAGGCCTGGCCTGGTGAGAGCTGCCCTGAGCCCTGGCCCAGGCGTGGCGAAGCCAGGCGTGCTACACGGTGAGCTGGAGACAAATTCAAAAGGATAAATTGAGGCTGTGTAGAAGGCAGTGAACACTTGCAAAAAGAGTCAGGATGTTCTCCTAAGGTCAAAGTCTTCAGCACTAAATTCCTCCAGAGTGTATTTGCTTCCTAGACCCCCAGAGTGGTTTTTATTTTTGTTTTTCAACGAGGTGACACTATTAAAAATGGAGACCGAACACATGACTGCTTAACCACTCAGCTGCTCCAGAGCATGGGCAGATCAGGCAGGGTAGGATCCTCACTTGACTTTACCTGCTGGCCCCAGTAGGCAGCGAGAGCTTGTGACCCCCAAACTGGCCGCCCAGCAACCTTAGAGGACTTTGGGCAGGGCAGGGGCAGAATGAGGTCTGTACTTCTGGAGGTCCAGCTGATGACCATGAATACCAGTGATGAGGGTGTGTGATGAGGAGGAAGCGGAGGGAGACCAGACACTAGCATTTACTGTGGCTTCATGACACTGCTGCATAGTCACAGCTGGTAAGTGGCAGAGCCTGATAGTTTGGATACAGGATCCACAGCCCTGGTGATATGGGGATTGGGTGTGGTTAGTGTATAGGTCTTCCCTCAGCCAGGCCAGTCACCATAGAAGGGGAGAGGATGTGTCCTGCCCCATCTGGGTGCTAATGCAATGTGCTTTCTCTGCCTACTCCTCAGAGAAAACCTGCCGAGCAGGAAAGGAGGGCAGAGGCTGTCAAGAGCTGATCCGGTGGCTTGGCTGCAGGCCCTGGCTTCAGCCTCTGTGCTGCTTCCCCACTTGACCAGCTAAATGCTGACCCCAACACAGGGACTGGACCCATCCCCCACCACACCTACCCTGGATCCACCTGCTGCATGGCTCACCACACCCAAGCTGCCTATTGTAGGGATTTGCAAAAGAGAAAACAAAGCAGACCACAGACTAACCAACCCTATGCATTTCCTGGCCGGAGGACAGTCTGGTTAAGAGCTTCCTCTGACTGGCTAGCATTTGTAACATCCCCCAGCTGCAGGCCAGGTTGCTCTTCAGGTGGCTGATCTCGGGCGAACCTCCGGACAGATCCCACCCCACCCCTGGGGAAGGACTCAGGAGGCAGCTGCTGAGATCTGCCATCCCTGGCCCCAGTGCCCTCTCTGTGCCAACTCAAAGTCACCTTTGCTCCAACTCGTCAGCTGGCTGGCCAGGACACCCTCCCATTTGGCCCAGCAGGATCCAGGAACTGGTCCCTATTGGGCAATCATTAATCGGATTCTTGACATTCCTGGGCCTGGGTCCACCTGAGAAGCATGCTCCCCGGAGGAGCAGAGGCCCAGGACTGGCATTTGGACATGCAGCTCATGGGCAAGGTAGTGCTGTCTGCTGTTGCGCTGCTCCTGGTGACGGCAGCCTACAGACTGTACAAGTCGAGGCCTGCCCACGCACCACAGAAGGGTGGGAACACTGAGGCCAAAGCTGAGAAGGAAGCAGAGGCCTCAGGGCAGCCTGCTGTCCAGAGTGCTTCTCCGGGGACACTCCAGAGGCGGCCGAGACGTCAGAGGAGTAGCCACAACGCTGGAGCACCATTGGGCTGCAGCTGGGAGGTCCCGGGAAGCCCCTGTGTCTTGGCTCTGGGAGCCACTGGCAGAGACAGGAAGCCCCCGAGTAAAGGCAGGCAGTGCCCGAGCTCTGAGCAGGTACCTCCTTGCTGCTGTGACCAGGAAACCGGAACAGCTGTTGACGGTAAGCTCACCCCTCCCTGCAGCTCTCTAGCTGAACTTGCCTCGTCAGTGGACGGCAGCTGTGTGGGTGGTGAACTGGCTACATGGATGGACAGTGGGTCCTCAGAGCAACCAGAGCCAGGGAAGCTGGGACCCCCTCAGAGCTGGGTGGCCCCCATGGAAGATAGCAGTGACATGAACCAGAGCTGGGTCTTCAGCCATGTGACAGGAGTGAGCAGAGAAGAGGCCGGGACGGTCCAGGCTGCCTCAGACATGGACCTGGCCGTGCAGCAGCAAGAGGGAGCCACCAACTCTTCTTATACCTTCTCATCCATGGCACGGGTCCGAATGGAAGAGAATTTCATACAGAAGGCAGAGAGGCCAGGGCCCCAGCTGAAGGGCAAGGTGTACGATTACTATGTGGAATCCACTTCCCAGGCCACATCCAGGCTGGCCCCCAGGAGAGCAGCTCTGGCCGAAGCTCCCACCCCTGGGCCAGTGCTAGAGACCCTGGAAACAGGAGCATCCTCCAGAGGCCAAGCTGGTGATGCAGAGGGTGGGGCCAAAGCAATTGCCTCCCCGAAGCCAGTGCTATCACCCTCTGTACATGGCTTCAGCAGGAAGGAGAGTCTCCTGGAGATCTCGGAGAACCCAGAGCTCCAGCTCCAGCCTGATGGCTTTGGGGCGCCTGCTCCAGACCACCCAGACCAGGGTACCTTGCCTGGTTTATCCGGATACAGTGGGGAGCCCCACGTACAGCTGGTGGCTAGGACCAATTTCTTCCACCTCCCCCTCAGTCCCACTTCTGCCTTGGACATCTGCCTGGATCTGGGCAATTGCTATGAGGTGCTGACCTTGGCCAAGAGACAGAACCTGGAGGCCCTCAAGGAGGCAGCCTACAAGGTGATGAGCGACAACTACCTCCAGGTGCTCAGAAGCCCGGACATCTATGGGTGCCTGAGTGGTACAGAGCGGGAACTGATCCTCCGGCGAAGGCTCCGTGGCCGCAAGTGCCTGGTGGTGTCCGACATGTGCCCCCAGGAAAACTGTGGCCACCTCTGTTGCTATGATGATGAGCAGGATGCCTGGTACCCCCTGGCCCAGCTGCCCCCTGAAGCAGTGTCCCGGGGATGTGCCGTCTGCAGCCTCTTCAATTATCTCTTTGTGGTGTCTGGCTGCCAGGGGTCTGGGTATCAGCCTTCCAACCGTGTCTTCTGCTATAACCCACTGACAGGGATCTGGAGCGAGGTGAGTTCGCTGAACCAGGCCCGGCCTCACTGCCGGCTGGTGGCTCTGGATGGCCACCTGTATGCTATCGGGGGCGAGTGTCTGAACACAGTGGAGCGTTACGACCCTCGTCTGGACCGCTGGGCCTTTGCCCCTCCACTCCCCAGTGACGCGTTTGCCCTGGCACACACAGCCACGGTGTGTGCTGGTGAGATCTTCGTCACAGGTGGCACGCTGCGCTACCTGCTGCTCCGATTCTCAGCCCAGGATCACCGCTGGTGGGCCAGCCCCACGGGTGGTAGCAAGGACCGCACGGCTGAGATGGTGGCTGTCAACGGCTTCCTCTACCGCTTTGACCTAAACCGCAGCCTGGGCATCAGCGTGTACCGCTGCAGTGCCAGCACACGGCTCTGGTACGAGTGTGCCACGTTCCGGATGCCCTACCCGGACGCCTTCCAGTGTGCCGTGGTGGACACCCGCATCTACTGTGTGGGGCGCCAGCGCACACTCTGCTTCCTGGCCGACCACGTCTCACCCAGGTTTGTGCCCAAGGAGCTGCAACACTTCCCATCCCCTCGGGGCACCCTCCTGCCCACTGTCCTCACCCTGCCTGGCCCCATTGTGCCTCAAACCAGGGTCTAGCAGCCCTCTGCTGGGCTCCCCAAGGCAAAACAGAAGGCAGAGTCCCACTCCTGCCTATCACTCCGGGGGTCTGGGAATTTGGCCGTAATGAGGGGAATTCTAACCCTTCCTCCTCTAGTTTCAGGGTCTCAGATGGGCCTTTCCCCTTCGTGGGCTTCAGAGGCCTGCCTAACAGAATATTAAAGCTAGGGACCAGCCTTCCAAGGCAGAAGAAAGACATCGCATCAGCATGGATGACCACCACCTTGCTTCATATCTAAATTCTTGGGGGCTACATCAGGACCCCACCAAAACTTAGAGCATAGCCTTATCCAACCACAGCACTAGAGGCCCCTCAAGCTATTCCCTCTAGAGATGGGCCTGACCTCTGTGAGCCTCCAGCGCCCCTTCCTAAACTGGGCCCCACCTTTAATTTACCCAGAAGCTCCTGGGGCACAGGTGGGGAAATTCAAAGGAGGTGGTTTGGGCAGGACCAGGAAAGAGGTAGGGGTACAGCCAGGAGAGAGGGCTGCAGCTGTCAATCAGCTGAAGTTGAAGGTGCCCACGGTCACTCTTGTCTGCAGAGTAAATTTACCCAACTCTACTTTCTCTTGTTCCCTGGAATTCTGTGTACTGGAAGGAGGAGAAACTAGCCATCTTCCCACAGAGGTCTACTCAGAATACAATTGATTCTATAAACAACGAGGTCTCAGGAGAGGGAGGAGCTGATGTGATCCAAGGCCACCTTCCTTCTAGGCCCCTGCTCATATCCACTGCTCCCTGACCCCAGCAGTCTTTCCCTAGACCTCAGAATCCTTTCAGGTGACCCAGCTTCTGTGTGGAAGCCCACTACCTGTCAGCATTTTGGGGCTGGTGAGAGGGCACAGCAGGACTGGCCTTCCCTATGCCACGTGGTCACCTGATTAGTCTCATCAGTCAAGGAAGGACCAGGAAGGGGCCAGTCTATCATAGAGCTGCAGAGCTGGCAGATTCCACTGGAGCAGCCAGAGGCTGGATTTCCTTTCACAGAAGGTTTGGTGAATTCTGAAATGGAAGAGACTCAGCCTCAGGAAGGCACCCACTCTTCCTTAAAGGAAGGGAGAGGGGTTGGTCCACTCTACCCCCAAAGCCCTTATTTCCTCTCCAAGAGATACAAAGATCAGACCCAAAAGCAGTTCTTGGCCCCAGCCTGGAGCAGGAGACTAATTTCTCCTCCTTCCAGTACAGCTCATCTACCTCCCTTGTGGTCCCATGGCAGACATCACTAATCAATGCCGTAACTTTTCTGAAGGAATCCTTATAATGGCCTCAAAACTGTACCCATTCTGAGTTCTGGCAGTCATAGTAATTACCAACAGATCAGCGCTGGGAGCTGGATTTAAGGATGGAGATGGACAGGACATCTTGGTGAAGCAACATGGCTCAGGGAACCTGGAAAACCCCTCAGGGGGCATGATGCCAGGATCCATCCATTTGCTGGTAAAATAATAGCATTTAAAGCACTTATAGACTATTTGGACTGATGACACAGCAGATATCTGCCCTAATGGAGCTCACATCCTAGTGGAAGAAAAAGGGGAATTTTTTTTAATAAAACCAACACAGAGACAAATACTTTGAACCCATGCTGCATAGGTGCTAAAGGGAAAGGTTGAGGGAAAGGACTGCTCTTTCAAACAGTGTGATCAGCCTCCCTGGTGGGATGGAATCTGAGCGGGGACCCCAGTGGAAATCTGGGAGATGCACAGACCAGGAACTGAAAGGCTGGCTCCTGCTGCACCACATCAGCTGGCGAGGACAGGGCTCCTTCCGTGCTGTGCCATCTTGGTATAGAGGAAAGGCCGGGTGGCTCAGCTATTCTGACTGGGCCTTGGTACAAGGAAAAGAATTCAATCACACCAACACTTGTGAAACAGACATATTATATGGGAACAAGCTACATTCCCCAGGAGAGAAGCAGAGTTTGCACATTCAGGGGTGAGGGCCAATGTAATCACCAGGATGTTGTAGACATCATCTTCAGTGTGCAGCTGAGTAATAGTGTGATGACATCTAGGATTTCCACTTGACCTTGTTTAATAGCCTGGGGTCTATGGACCTCTTGCTCTTGGATCAGAGTGGCTTCTATCTCTTGGCTTTCTGTGGATCATCTGTCATGCTTTCCCCAGTAAGAGTTCTTTCTTCTTTAGGAAAAAAAAAATAATTAAGTCTGTGTTATTTTTCATTTTAAGCCACCCTTGCCTGTTATAGAAAAAAAATTGGAAAATAGAGAAAAGTATGAAAATACTCTCCAATTTTGCCACCCAAAGACATCCCCTCCCATGGTGCAGACCCCCACCCCCAATTTTTTCTTCTGTGCAGTTTTTGTTCCGCTCGATTTTTGCCTAGGTATGATTATGCTGAATATACAATTCAGCTGCTTCCTTTCTTCACATAGCATTTTAGAATAAGCGTTTTCCCATGTTATTACAAACTCTCAGTAAACATCATTTCAATAGTTGTACAATATTCCGCCGAGTGAATGTATCACGGTTTATTTAAACATTTTCCCCTCTTGTTGGGCCTGTGGATTTTTTTTTTCCCAGTTGGTTTCTTTTTGTATCAGAAATAAAACATCCTTTGTTTTCTTGTCTCCCTTCTGGGGCTTCTATCAATATTTACAAGAATCCCAGCCTAGGTCCTGTCTGGAAGAGCAGAGTTGCTGAAACAAACATAGATGCCTACATTTGCCTACAGCTGGGGCTGCAGCTGGAGCTGGAGCTGGGGCTGGGGCTGGGGCTGGGCTGCTCTCTGTCTGTAGAACACAGAGCTGTCTTGGAAACCCCCAGCCAGAAAGCCAAGACCGGCTAAAGGGACATCCCAGGTGCCTCTCTAAGGAATCCCTGGCCAGATAAGACAGGGAGTCACATTTAGTGAGCACCTGCTCATTTTATGCTGGGGACTGGACTACATGGTTTCATAGACATCATCCCACCATCCTCACAATAATCCCATTTTGCAGGAGAAAAATCTGAGGGCCAGAGAGTTTAAGAAAATTTCCTTAAGAGCAAAATCCAAAGACCTTCCATGTCCTTAAAAGTGTGCTTAAACCTGGCCACCTCTATCTCAATGAGACCTTTCTCCATTGTGTCATCATAAGGCAATGTAGCCAAGGACTTGGCCCCAGCCCACATCCTGGTTACCCAATCCCATCTCCACACACACCAATTAATAATGCTCCATCTCTGAATCTTGAACTCAAAGGAAATTTTCTTAAATTCTTGGATCTTCGATGCCTACATCCATAACATGAGTTGCCCCTGCCAGGCTCTGAAGAAGGATATTGTGAGAACTAACAAGAAGCACCCAGTCCAGGGACAGCTCCGACGTGGGTCCCCGAAGAACTGTTGTCTGGTGGGGAGGGGCTGCTGAGCCAGCTCGGAGAAGGGGGTTCTTCTGGGGCCTCCTTCCCTTTTCCCCCGAGTCCTGTCCTCTTAGGGGGAAGCTGTCTGAGATTGAAGCTCCAAAGGCCCCTTTTTGTCTGAGAAGGTCTAAGGGGATGCTCAAGATAAAGGTTACTCATATTCTGGGGCTGAGGGTATAGCTCGATGGCAAAGTGCTTGCCTGGCATGCATGAGGCCCTGGGTTCCATTCCCAGAACAGCAAAACAAAATCAAAAACAAAACCCTCATATTTGTACTGCTCAGGTTTTGAGACTGTCAGGATTGACTGACGAGCTGATCTGAGCTTCTCTGGGCTCAAAGCACTAAGCCTCTTCCTGGGAGGAAGACAGTCCAGCTTCAAAAGTGCTCAGAGGTCCTTGGAAGGCCTGAGAAGGTGCCAGGTAGCAGGAGCTCCTTCCCTTACAGATGGAGTGTAACTAGCTTTAGGGCCTGGGAGGAACCGGGCCATGTCTTGGTTGCATATTTGGAGCAGTAGACAGAGGTGCCCAGCACTTCCTGCCTATGTCATCCTTACCTGGAGGAGCCTCATGGCCTTGTCCCCCTCATTCCCCTAGGAGTCCCCTGAAGCTGTAGCTGCCACCAGGAGCAGCTCCCTAGGCAGGTTTGAGGCTGCGAGGCTAGCAGAAGGAGGGAGATGAAACAGGGTGAAGGAGGTTCCTTCAGGGAGCTAGAAGCAGAAGAAAGAACTGCCTGGAGGGAAGGCTCTGCAAATAGCTCCTGGCCTCCAGTCACTTGAAAGGTGGGATGGGGGTCAAAATAAAACAAAAATGAAAAGCGATTGAGTCTCACTTGCCTTTTTGTGTGTAAGGAGGAGGTGGAGACATGGATATTATACCAATGCCAACAGCAGTGTCCTCGGCACCGGCCTATGTGCAGGCCTGCAGGAGAGGAGTTGAGCCCCAGGTCTCTGCTGAGTCTGCAGAGCCCTGTGGCTGGCCCAGGGGTATTTTCACAGGACAGGGGTATCCTCAGAGGACAAAGAGAAACAGACCGGGCCCTGCTCAAATTTCAAAATGACCGTTCAAAACCTACTGATTGAAATGATTACTAATAATTATTACAACAATCTTTTTATGCTAAAATCCTAGAGGACAGAAATGTAATCATTGTTATTCATTTATTGACATTCGATGCTCATAGTCTCTTTAGTCATATTAGCTCATTATTTTTAAACTAATTTTTAATTTTTTAAAATTTTGAAACAGGGTCTTGCTAAATTGCCCAGGCTGGGCTTAAACTTTCAATCCTTTTACTTCAGCCTCCCGGGACACTGGGATTACAGATGTATGCCACCATGCTTAGATTTATTTTCTTTTTTAAGAGACGAGGTCTCACTATGTTGCCCAGGCTGACCTCATAGTACTGGAATCAAGTGATCCTCCTGCCTCACCCTCCTGAGTAGCTGGGACTGCAGTCACATGCCACCACTTTTGGTTTCTATTGCCTCATTTTATCCTCAAAACAACCAAGGTAAATAGCAAAACTGGCCAAATTCTCCCCTTCCTATCAATTTCTCCACCACTGGCATCTTGTCATGTGACTTGCTTTGGCCCTCTGGGACAGTACCACACTTGCTATAGCAGAGAGTTTGCTCTCTTTTGGCCCTTGGAAACCCTGAGACTTCCACCAGGGGGACAAGGCCAGGTTAGCGCAATGACAGCCACATGGCTCAGTCGCCCCACTTAGCCAGCCAAGCACCTGACCAGAGAATGAGGCCACCCACCAACCACCGACCACAGGACCCCACCAAACCCAAGCAAGGCCAACAGAAGATGCGCCTGGCTGAACCCAGCCCAAACCTCTGATCCACAGATGCATGAGAGGAACAGATATCTGTAGTCAGAAACCACTGAGCCTGGGGTGGTTTGCAGTACAGCCACCAATGGGTAAGTGGTTGACTGTCCTGTGAGGTATCATCTAGGGTCATAGTTTCAAAGTTGAGGGATCTAGAGCTCCAGAAAGTGAAACAGCCTTCCCATGGTCACACAGCTGCAAGGAAGCCAAGCTGGGAAGCCACCCCAGGTCTACCTGACCGCAATCCCTCAGTTCTTCATCATCCAGCCATATGGCCTGACTCCGTTCTACAGAACCACCAAGGATTAGGATCCCACCCAGGGGCCGGTTACCAGGCCTGGCTTCAACCCTCTGTCACTCCTGGAGGACCCCATCTTCCCCCAGACCCAGGAGCCATTGGACATGGGGGGCGGGGGGACAGCTGTGAGCCAGCTCAGAGGAGGATCTAGAAAGACCAGAAGATCAACTTCTGGAAATATCTCTGCTAACACCTGCTGAGTGTCAGGCTCTGTCACAGACACTTCACTTGCAGTAATTCATTTAATTCTTAAAACAGCCCTCTTTGTTAGATATTCACTATTTCAAAGATGGGGAAACTGCGGCATGGAGTTTAACTGTTCAAGGTCACATAGCCAGGAAGTGGTGGAAACCACCAGGGCAGGACTGCTCCCCAGTGTCAGGAGTGGTGAGTCAGCTGCGAGAATGGGGGGCTTTGCTTATCTCCCTTTTAGAGTCGCTGGGTCCAGGCTCTATGCGGACACCGCATGAGCAGGGGCCTTGGCCATCTTATCTGCTTGGTGTTGTTCACTTTGGTGTCTCCAGTGTCGGATCCCAGATCCGGCTCAGGGCAGGAGCCCAGAGGCACTTTGTTGGAAGAAAGAATCAAGGTGGCAAGTATCACTTATGAGACTGCCTGGGCCCCTCTTGGTGATCGGGCCCCTGACTCCCTGCTGATGCTTTGGGGGGAACCTGGAGCACCCCGGTGTGGGTTTGGTCCCTGGCATTGAGATTGGAAGTCTAAAATCTTGAGGCCACTTGCCCCAAGTCACAGCCCTTGTCACTGTGGTGCCCCGCAGTCTGTCACACAGCACAGATCTGAGGGAGCCAGCAGAGCTGTGTCCTGGGTCCCGTGTGGCAGTGGTGGCTGCCCTGCCACAATCCCACTCCCTGCACAGCAGCCAGGTCACTTGTCTTTTCACATCTTCTTCCCTTTCCTCAACACAGCCCCCAGCACAGCACACAAGGTAAGGGTGGCAATGCCCCCCTCCCCGCCAGGTCACAGTGTTGAGCACAGCTGTCCTCCTGCCTCAGCACCTGCAGCCCACCCAGGAGCCTCCACGCTGGTGAAAGACACTCTGCCCATGCAATGGCAGCCTGGCACCACCTGAGGGTTCAGTGCTCCCCAGGGTAGACCCACGCAGTGACAGGAGGGCAGAGCTAGTGTATAAATACCCCAGTTCTCTGAGTCCCAGGGGGACAGCTCTGATGTTCTGCACTGGCTCCCAGATGCCCCTGTAGGACTGAGCCCTCATTATCCTGGTGGTAATGAGCTGATTAATATTGAGAGTGTGTATGTGTGTGTGTTGTACTAGAAATTGAACCTAGGGCCTTCACACAGAGCTACATCCCCAGCCCTTTTTTATTTTGAGATAGGGCCTCCCTAAGTAGCTGAGTTGTTCAGGTTGGGCTCAGATTTGCAATACTCCTGCCTCAGCCTCCAAGAGTGCTGGAATTCCAGACCTGGAACATCACTCTGAGCTGTTGACAACTTTTTAATAAAGTCACATCTGACCTCCCTGAAGATGCTCGCCTTGCTCCTCCTCCCTGCACAGACTCTAGGAGAGGTGCACTCACTCTTGCCTCCTCTAGAACTTCACCTCAGGGATACCAGCCGTCTCTCCCTAACTCTAGAGAGTTTCAAGCAGCATTTGGATGGGCTCCAGCATTATCCATTTTAAAAGAAAAGCCATTTTCACAGGACTGGCCTAGTAGTACAGTAAAGTAAGCTGTGGGTATGCCTCAGGAGGGTGAAAACACTACAGTCTTTCTTAAAGAGGCTGTCTTTCCTAGCTTTTTGACCCCTTTGTCAAAGATCAGGTAGCTGAATGTCCCTGGGGTTGTTCTGCATCTTCTATTCTGTTCCACTGATCCACGAGTCTGTTTTTTTGCCAATGCCATGGTGTTTTTATCACTGTAGCTTTGTAGTGTGACTTGAAGTCTGGATATACCTTGAGACCATAACATTGGGTGAAATAAATCACACACAATCTTAAGTATCACGTGGTTTCCCTTATGAGAAACCCAAAATATAAATAAAGTGCAAAAGAAAAGATGGATAATAGCAAATTGGAAGGAGACCAAGAGATGGAGTAGGGGGAGGGAAAGGGATTTTCAAAAGAGAATTAAGATGTGTTGCGCACATGCACCAACTCCCCACAAGGAATGTGATCATTATATACTACAAAAATGTATGAATAAAAAATTTTTTAAACTACACCCATACAATGGGTTGCTATTTGTAACAAGTGTCAAAGGATGTGGTTTCATTCTGTTCTTGAGGACAGTTTAACCTCTACAGTCTGTTGATCATTTTTCCTGTAATCACATTTATCTGATCCCATTCCACAGCCTTTACCTCATGAATAGTAGGAGAGCTCTTGCTACACTGGCCTCAATTTGAATCACAAAAAATTGAGTGAATCCTTCAAAACACCTTGAGTAACCAAATCCAATCTGCAGAAATCCAAACCTGGCACCACGCCTGGTAAGTGTCTAACTTGGACTGGACCTAGAAACAGTGCAAGCCGTTGCCCTCTCCCCTCAGCCCACACCCACACCCGCTCCCTGGCCCAGGCAGTGGGCTGGTCGGTGGGCTGGTGGCAAATCAGAGCAATGCCAACCCCAAGAAAACCCGGGCAGCAGTGTCTCTAGAACTCGTTGCTTTAATTTAACACAAACACACAGTTTTTATTGTGGTAAAATACACATAACACAAAATTCACCACTGTCATCGCTGTAAGATGTGCAATCCAGGGCCATTAAGTAAATCCACCTGTGCATCTATTCATGCTTTTATCAGATTACAAAGAAGCCACAAACATTTATTGTAGAATATATAATTGGGAAAACATAAAGAAGCCCAAGAAGACAGTAAAAATCATTCCTTCTCAGAAATAATCTGTTATCGCTTTGACTTCTTCATTTCCAGTTTCTTATTATCCATAATTTTAAAAACCAAAGAATGTGGTCTTACTTTCTACATGGTGTGGGGCTGACTTTTCTCCCATCAGAATATTGTGACTTCTGGGTCTTGGGTTTTTAAAAAATATATATCATTGGGTTTATTTTAATTGTGATAAAACATGCGTAATATAAGATTTACCATTTGGGCCACTTCTAAGTGTAGAGCTGGGGGGCATTAAGTACATTCACACATTGCACCAGCCTCCCTCTATCCCTCTCCTGATCTTTCCTGCCACCCCAAGCAGGTTTGTCCCCATGAAACCTCAGCTCCTCCACTCCCCTCTCCACCCACCCCTCATGAATAGAAGTTGTCTTTAACTCTGGAAAACACCTTTCCCTAAAATGAAGACCTTTTCTGTTCCGTCAGCACAGGTAATTAGGAATGTGCCTTAAGCACAAAGACAGGCTGGTTTTTATCCATTTTAGAAGATTCTGCAACTAACACAGCACCCAACTCTGTGGGACACTTTGGAGGAAGAGAACCTGATAAATAGCTTCTTTCTCAAAGATACCTCATTCCTTCTCAATGCCACCAGCAAGACAAAGGGAAAAGCACTCTCTCTCCTCCATGTGCTTCCTCCAGTCTCACCCTAAATTAATTACTTTTGGTGCTTTGGTAAAAATATCATTTGGCAACGGCCAGGGTATACACCATGTTAATGATTGTGTTACATTGTGGGTCCTAATTATGCAATTTTGAGCTCTTTCAGTAATGGAGAACTGAGTAGCTATAATTACATA